TGTACAAACACATGTCCACAGGCTAGAAAACAAAACCAGACAACTTCTCAGCTAATGCAGAAAGGCTGAACTCCAATGAAAACTAGCTGTGAAGGAATGCTGTGACTCAAACTCATAGCTGTGGACATTACAGCGAGTTATACAGTACTGATTATTACATATCAGAACTTGATTACTGACTTTCCTAGTATTGAAAATGCTCATAAAAATGGTAAGTTATAAGAACATTAAAACATATTTTAAAAATCACTGAAAGTAACTGGACAAATTGGTTAATTTTATGACAGTTTTCCATTAGCTCATGTTGCTCCACTGCAGTTTCATTGTATTCATGGACACACACATATGCATGCACACACACACAATTTGGGAAAGTGGAGGAAAAGGAAGAAAATTGGTTTTATGAACAACCAGAGAAGTAGAAATTATAGAACAGACTCAGAAGACCGATGAAGCACATGATTGACTTCCATTATCTTCAGCAGAGCTTGACTACAGTTGAAGTGCTTTAATGAACGAGGGCCCCCAAAACACAGTGCTCCTCAGCCCGGTTATCTGATCATGGCTTCATGTGAAACAAAACACTTGAAAGCAACTAAAGGTAAGGAAATGCTCAGGTTTAGCAGATGAAAGCCTCGTAGGAATTCTACTACTTAAGAAAAAACCCACAGTGGCTTCCTAAATTTTCATCACCCCTAGCAGCTTTTGAATAATGCAATGGTCTTTCTGACAGCTTCATAAAACCGTATGTAATCTGCACAAGAAGTTCTACAATGTCTCAGCACTTCCTGGGGACTCAGAGCAGTAGGGTAGCCTTGCAACACAAGCAGAGATTAATCATTTTCTAATGCACAGTAATAAATAATGTATCCCCCATAGTACATAAATTAAAGCTGTAATTTCATCCAAGTTCTGTGATGACACCAGAAGCCCAAGATGGAATTTCAACCTCGTTATGACCAGTCAGGATACACATTATTCCTAAAATTATGATCTGAGAGTTTATCATGAACTGGAGTTCTGAAGGCATTACCAAAAAAAGAAGGATATGTAATTACAAGCAGAAAATAAAATTATTAAGTCAGATATTGTTTGCAGAACTTGCTAAAGTAAGCAGTAAATCTCATCCCTCAAAAGCCCACTCAGCATATTTATAGCAAGGCAAGCAAAGATCACTACTACTATCAAAAAACTGAAAGTTGTTCTAGTACCACAGGGCAATGCCTCCACCACAGCAAACATAAAAAACTACATGCTGAAGTTCAGGTTTTATGTTACAAAACCCCTAAAATGCTGAATATATGTCCTCCTACCACCACACCCAGCATTTCACTCAGAAGTCAAACAAGTATTGCACAGGTGCACAACAGGTATAAAATACCAGGATAAAGACACAGTCTATCTCAAATCCACATTCCTATCTGACAAGAAAGCTACTGAGCAAAACAAAATACTCACAATGAGAAGTTTTATCCTTCTGATGAAAATACATATATATGTATACACACAGTTTATACAGTGTAAAGGATCTCAAAAATTTTCATGAAGAACATCCTCCTAGTATTTCTCCTGCAGATAATTTCAAGAAATCCTATGAAGACTCAAATGATATTTTACAAGTCTAACAACAAGTATTTTAATGCAAACAAGGTTTGAAGTATGAAGACCGAGAGCCAAAATAATCATCTATATAGAGTTAACTGTTATATTCACCCTGACTTTTGCTACCAATTCCCATGATTTTCAGCAAATCCCACAAGATTTCAAGGATGTCTGGAGCCAGCTTTCTTTCAGAGACAAGAAGAAAATAACTTTCTGACCGCCTTACACAAACAAGGCATGAAATTTCACAGGATCATTCACGGCCTGGAGTGGTTCCACATTCTGAACTTCTTCGCGTGGTATTATTCACAGATTTATCTTATCCCCTCTCCCTCCCACCACATTCTTGATAATGTGAGACTCATAAATCATGCTCACTGTCTCTTGCTTTCTCCCCCCACCCCACACTTCACTTAGGTTTCTACCTTAGATAGCTATAAAGAAAAAGTAAAGGAGGGGAAATGTGAAGATTATGAAAAAAAGTCAAATAAATTAGTGCAGAAAGTTGATTTTTAAAAGCTGAAAATACTTAAGCTCAGAGTAACAGTTTTTGAATATCTGATGCTTCCCCACAAGTCACTGTATTATTTGTTCCTTCCAACTCTTCCTCTTTCCACTTCCCATTTCTATAATGGTAAAGTGTTCAAATCTGAATACCTGAACTTATATTTTCTATAATCACATTTAAGCACCTTAACAGCAACATTTCATATTCAAGGGGCCACTCACCCAGAGAAGGCCACTAATTTTTCTGTTCTTTTTTAATCTCTCTGATAACCAGCAAAATTTAAAATCTGCATATAAATATTTATGTACCTACATCTGCATTTGAGGATGCATTTTCCACAAACCTATTTCCTCCCTTTTTGCATTCCCTGACTATTCACACGAACAAAAAAAAAATACCAAAAATCATGAGAAAAGGACAAGGAAAGCAAGACAATTGTCTAAAGCTCCTTGCCTCCATGCTTGCTCCACAAGAAGCATATCATCACCTCTAAATAGCAACCTGAAACCTACTCAAGAGACTTACGTAAGTCGTGAGTCAAGAACTAAAGCAGCGAGTGTCAAAACATTCAAAGACACAGTACCCTCTGCTCCTAGTAGTAAAGGAGTAACTGCTGAGAATATGCAAAGATGATCACTGCACTGGAGAAAAATAGCAGTAAAAACTTGTCACGGGATCAACAAAATCATAGAATGGTTTGGGTTGGAAGGGACATTTAAAGAGTTATTCCAAAACTTCCCTTGCCATGTGCAGAGACATCTACCCTGGGTTATGTTGCTGAAAGCTGACCATTCGAAACTCAGCCACACAAACTGAGCTACAGGCTTCAGCAACAGTAGCACATTGCTAGAAACCCTTTGACCTAGTATGATCTTGGAGGCTTATTATGTCTCAAAGAACAATATAAGCTCCCACAAAAGTGTTAACATAATGCCCAAAGCATGCTTCCATCTGCCTTTTATTGGGGACTCAGAGAACGTGAAAATTTTCTATGGAATCTCTTAGAGAGTAGGTTATGTTGCTCATGAAATATTGCCCACAAGGAATGGCAATCCAACACAGAGACTGAAAGGTGACCCTGTAAATAAATGTCAGCTGCAAAATCAAATACCTCTCCTGAACAAACACTGAAATATTGACAATGTAAACAAAATACAGAGAAGAGAAATAATTCCCAAATGAAAAAGAAAGAAGGAAAAAAACCTAGAGGGAATATGGGAGGGAAGGGCACATGGCAAACTTAGGTTACTGTAACTCCAACCAATGCAGGCTCTTCCCATTCTCATCACCAGACCCCATCTGTGCCTAAGTGTAAATGGAAGGGTTACCTATCATGTTACCTATCACCTTTCTTCATGCAAATGTCATTTAATATATTCTGAAGACTATATAACTTAATAATTCAGAAATTAATCTAAAATTATGCTTATATAACATGTACCATATTAATTTACATTCTTACTGCACTAGTCATACAAACACATACAATAATTGTTGCTCAGAATGCTTTTCTCCTGAGAATTGTTACACTTGCACTCTAATTTAAAGGCATTCATAAAGAATCTGTAAAATCTGAGCCTGTTAATAGGCTGTAAAACTAGCCTATTAGTTGTAAAATTAGCCTATTAGCCTTCTTTCCCTCATTGTTAGATCAACACATAAGACACTTGGCTGAGGACTCAGAAGCAGTGAAAATTTCGGTGCTTGCAATCCAGGGAGAGAAGCAGGACTGCAGAACTGTGTAATTACAAGAAGAAAGAAGAAGTACAATTGAAAGAGTCCCTATTTCTGACACAGCACATCTCAGAAGAAACACCAGCACCTGTCACAATTAACTGTGTGGTGAGGACTTCCCTACTGACACCGTATCCAGAGATGTGGATTTTTCATCACATAGAATTTCCATTTGCCTTCTGGAAAAAGGAAGAAGGAGGAGGGATGAATTCTTTTTTTTTTTCACAACATTTTAAAATTATTTAACTCCACTAACTGAAAAAGTTACCATTAACTTATTGCATTGTTGCAATACAGGCACAAAGAATCCAAAAGCAGAAGCTCTTGCTGCTTATCTGACTATAGGGGCTGATTTGTTCCTGACAAAATATAGGACAAATGAACATACTGCTAATGCATACTGTGTTAATTATTCTGCAGTGCCATGTAGTAACCCTGACGGAAGTTCAAAGGAGTTGTGACAGATACGGATGGAAACAGTAGTATATATAGTTTAAATTTGCATTCAGTCATTTGCAGCTATAACATGGGAGAATTGAGTTGCAAGGCTGCACTGCTGCCTAAATGATCACACATTATGCTACCAGATTAAATACTCTTGTGAGATAAAACACTGTAGAGGGCTGAAGTTCAGAAAATCGATTTCAACACTGTTTTGTAAACCTCAGTACAGCTCCAACTCTCTGTTATTGATACCAATTAAATGGACCACATTTACATTGCTAATCCACGCCAGGCTTAAAAAGTCAACCAGTTAGTGCACAACACTGAGAGCAACGGAGGGCCTGCAGACACTTACAGACAACATGTTGCCACAACAACGCTTTAATTTAGAGGAGGAAAAAGTACTGGCCTCTGGAGTTGTAAGAACCACCCAGAGACAGGAACTGTGAGTACATAAATAAGCAGAAGCAATTCTATGAGCCTACACAAAGTGATTTCAAAAACTCATCCTCCTCCCACATCTTTACCAAAAAGCAGCCGGGTGAGCTGAGTGGCAGCAGCCAGTTGCTGTCTGGGACCCCTACAGGGTCCTGAAACTGGACCCTGCAAAACCCTGCTCAGCCCAGCTACCCGGACATCCATGCCCAGCCTACAGCCCATGGGACACAATGCTGACCCGCAAAATGCCCAATCCAGCTTGTCGCTCACTCACCCTATAGCATCCTTTGCCCGTGGAAAAACTCGGCTGATGCTGCCTCACCCCAGGGCACCTTTGGCTCCCACAAGCCCACAGCAAGTTGTGGGTTGCAGTACAAGAGGGGTTTGATGCTGAGCCTCTCTGAACACAGCAGATCCCACGGCAAACTCCACCTATCAGGGAAAACCCAGGGTCAAACCACTGCAGCTCACAGTTGCCGAGCTGACACAATGCACTCCTCAACACAGACACAACTGAACATATCAATGGTACATATAAGCTTTCTCAGTAAAAACAGATCTGCATGCATTTACAACATAACAGCCTTCTGTTTTGATGCTGAAGTTTTGTTACCTCCCCCACGCTCCCTGAAATAAATATATTTTAAGAAATTCTGTTGACTTTCTTCAATCATTAATCACATTGTACTAATAAATGTTCTGACAGTGACATTGTTTAAACAACCTCTTCTCCACCCAAAATCCACTGGCAAAATCCACATGTAAGCTGACCATCGCATAACCCTGCTTTTGAATGCTAATTGAAATCCACTTCCCCCAGCCAGCACAGTAAAGAGCTACTCTTTGGGAGGGGGACTGCAGAAAAGAAATGAGAGAGGGGCCTTTGAGGGGAAATAAAAATAGGATCCCTTGATCCCACCATGACATGGCCCAGACATTCTCCCTGTGGGGGAAGACAATGTTTCTTACAGCAGTGAGAGTTTTTATAACGTTTTCTTCTCCTTTTTTTCCCCCTGTGCAACTTTGCTTCCTGAAGAATGCTTTATATAAAAGACATGACATTTGGCAACCCAGCTCTGCTGCTTTGAGAAATTCTTTGGCAAGCACCCTACGTGCTGACTGCATTAAGCACATCAGTTTATTTATTTATTTATTTATTTAGGCAGAAGTCAGAAGGAGCAAGCCATAAAATTAATACACAGCACAGTATCACTTCATCCAGAAAAAATGGAAGAGGAGATGGGGAAGGAGGAGCTGGAGTTTCTTCTTTTGAGAAACCTCATCACGGGAGCAAAAATGGTTCTCCAACCTCCAAGTGTTGTTGCTGTTCTGGAGCATACACAGTGATTCTCAGATCTCAAGGCATTTAGGGAACATCAATTAATTAATTAATTAAGACTGGATTCCACATCAAAGGCAGGTATCATTACACATCTATTTTGCACATGGGTAAAACGAGCCGCAAAGTGAACCTAAGCTTGTCCCGAGGCAGGAAGCACCGCCTTGCTCCTGCTGAGGGAAAGCCACCCTGCCGTAGAGAGCAGGAGGTCTCAGCACTGGTCACCTGCAGACCCACAATTTCCCCCCTCATACCAGGATAGGAAACAGAAAATAGAGATATTTCTACATGCCACCAAGGGTGCAGCCCATATCTGTGAGGCACAAGCACCCATAAGCACTGATTTCCTTTGCTCTGCATCGTGTGCCCATGACATACCTCAGCACCATTAGCAGCAGGTAAAGGACAGCACTGTGTATATATAACCAGGGTCATGGGCTTGGAAAAGCAAAATCTCCAAGGGTCAAGGACTCCAATGAGCAATGCCTGTCTCCTAGTCAGATGCCACATGCTGAGCAGGAGTGCCTTACATTTATGGTTTGGAGTTATGGACTGCTCACAAGAGAATGAGATGCTTCTCAGAAACAATGGAATATTTTTGCTTGTGATCATCATTAGCTCCATTTATTTACACCAGGAGCCAACAAAGCTTGGCAACACACTGCCAGGGACACCCAGCCACAGCAAATTCACAAAATCATGAAGTTTTCAAGCTAAACAGGAAGGAGAGATGGGAACTGGAGAGGACATGACATGCCTGCCCAGAGACAGAAGCTGCCCGTCCCACAAGCTTGGAAAGGTAAAGCTCCTGCACTTACCACATATCCTCTGGTATTTTCAAGCTAAACTGCTAGCAGCAAAGTTTGCCCCAGTCTGTCCAAGGCATTGTTTAGCACACAAACCAGAAGAAATGTTGAAACCTTTACCTGTTTTAACACTGAAAAGTGTTTTCCACACGCAAGTCTAGAAGACACAGACATGTGTTCTCATCTGTTGCGTGCGCCCTGATGTAAAAAAGAAGTCTAACTTTTTTCCTAGAAAAGAAAATCTGGAACAGCAATCTAAACCTGCCTGGTGTTTGCTAGAAGAATATGAGGACAACTGTTTTTCTTTTAAATAAAAGTCTTGCATTACCCTCCCTTCCTGTTCTAAAACTTCTTCCAAGAATTTCTTTCCTTCATTTCTAGGCCAATTTTTATGATATCCAAGTAGTTATCACAACAGCACTATAAAAGCACAACTCTTCAAGGTTTATTCAGAGCAAACAGACCTCAACCAGACTGCCAGTTTTGGCATAACTTTGGCATGACCAAGGACTCAGTACAGTAAGATACAGAACTCGGCATCAGTTAAACTGTACAGCAACCTCTGCCAATCATCTGTCCTCAGTGAAACATGAACCAGGCTCGCCTTTGAAAAAGATTCAGGGACCTCAGCACCAAAAAGGGCCAAATGCACACAAATCTGTCCACAAAGAAATCACTTGCAAAATTCCCCTCAACTGAAGCAAGGAAATAGCAAGCCTTCAGTAGCACCACTCAGTCATTCTCTTCATCCTGAAAACAATGCACTAGCACTTCAAGTGGGGATTTCAAGCTTGCTGAAATGAGTTACTGATGCCCACACAGGACACACACCTTGGTCTACAACCTGGCTCTGAAAGTATAGGCCAAAAGCAAGCAAGGGAGACTTCAGCACAAGTGGTTTCAAGCTATGGTCTCATTAGCTTGACACACAGGCTTGAAAGCGCACATAAAATATGAAGTCAAGGGGTTTTGGATCTGTGTGCTACATATCAAAATACAAAGATGCACACGTTGTCCCAGTGCAAAATTTCACACAAGCACATTAATAAACACATATGTGTTTAAACAGAGAAACAAAAAAAATATTATGCACCAAACACATCTGTGATGGTGACTTAGAGGAACTATCATATTTTAGCACAGACTGGCAATCTCACTAGCTTGAGGTGCACAGTACAGAGATGCTACGAAAGACAAAATCACACAGCTTCAAACTTACGTACAAATATTTTACTTGAAAAGATTATGACAGAGAGAAAAGACGTGGAGGTAAAGGGTAGGAAAAGGATACAACACACGAGAGAGGGACAAGACTGGGTTGTTTTTAGCTTAACACTTGCCAAGTGAAAAAGCAAACATGAGTCATAGTAAAGGTAACTCAAAGTGTGATGTGACTGCAATGGAGAGCTGAGCAGACCACACTGCATGAGTCAGCAGCACAGATAAAAAGGGTGATAAGAAGCAGCAGATGGGACATGTCTTTACTAAAACAACCCTGCAGGACACAGGCCTTCTTTGCTCTAATGAAACGGCCGTGCCAAGCTGCCACACGCTGGCTCGTACACTTGCCATCCTGTGAATCAAAGAACGCCACGCATGGTTAGAAAAGCAGCAGGCAAACAGCTGCCGACAGATCCACAGGCATAAAAAAAAAAAGAAAAAGCACAGAAAGCAACGCAACAGCACCGCCCCGCCGCTCACACACCCTGACGAGTGCCTGGGACACCACCCTCCAAACCACTCAGGCATCGGGGTGGGGAGGAAGAGAAGAGGGGAAGGAAGCTGTCACTGGGATCATGGCATTCAACCTGGCCGTCAGCCAGCTTCTCCCTTCCTGCGAGTCAGACTTGGCTTTCCCGGTGGGTGCCGAGGGCAGGCGGCTGCAGGATGGCCCCAGCCCCCTTCTGGCTCTGCTGCATGCACCTGCAGAGCCCGCAGGCAGCTGCGCCCGGACAGCTCCTACGTGTCTCAAGAAGCCAAAAGGGCAGCTGGGGCTACTTGCAGAGCTGAACTCCAGTGGACCTGCAGCTCAGGTGGCTTTGCAAAACTCACGTTTAAAGCCTCATTTTTATTTTTTTTATTTTTTTTTTTTTCAGGGCTGCAAACCCTGTTTTGCTGCAAGAGCAGAACATGTAGCCCCGTGTTCTTGGGTAGCAGATATGCAAGGCCACATTACCTGCAAAATCCAAATGCTGCCCTGGCCACATCAACAACCTGCAGTGGTGGTTCCTCACTGTCAGGATCCCTCCACTTCTGAACCTGGTCAGGAAAGATGAAGGTCCTCTGTCACAAGCTCAAATGAGTACAGAGACAAACATAAGGCAAAGCTCAAATCAGCTTTCATCTCACTTCTTGGATGAGGTAAAATTATACCCTGCCTGTAAGGGGCAAGATGGAAAGTAAAATGCTCTATTTTTAGACACGAGATCCTGCTTCATCAGGTTCATCTAATTTCTAAGAAACAAACTTTGGCAAAGGTCTGCAGCTGAAGGGGATGAAACATGACTTGTTTAATTTCTTTTTTAGTGCAGCTCATAGCATGACTAGCATAAATCTAAGGAAATCTGCTTTAGCCACATAGACATACCAGCTGTTTTATTTGGGATAGTCCCTATATTTTAGCAATATAAATATATATAGAGAGAGAGTTTGCTTTCCCGAATCTGTCCTGCCAAATATGTATGTTATGTCCAAGCATTTCAATGGAGTTAGAAAGTTTGTCTATTCCTCCTGCTCCAAACATTCTTATTTATAGATTTCAAAATTTGACAGGTAAGTCGAGGAAGAGCAGTTGCTGAGCCTAACACACTCTGCACAGCAACAGATCTGTTGTAACAGATTACAGGCAGAGAGAGAGACAGGAAAGTGTTGTACTTTCCTTCTTTACACAAGTCCTTGCTTTCAAATGCAGCTTTATGGAGACAACGACAGCAAGGGCTTGTCTAAAATAAAGCTGGACTGACAGCCAAGTCTCACTGCAGCCCCACAGACAAGACAGCTTGGCTCTGCACTTTGGTCATGCACTTTCCTAACCAAACTATGTATATTCCAAGAAGTAGGTAGAGGAACTGCTCCCCTACAGTCATCAGGAACATTAGTGAAGGGGGAGGGTGGTCAGCCTGTATGAAAAACAGTAAAGTTATTTATTTCCTGACAGTTTAAATCTCATCTTAGAGGCTTCAATAGCTGATATTTTCTGGCATGCATGCAGTGGAACTCCTTTTGTTACTCACTCACAGAAGGTCCCTCTCAGCTGCCTGCAGTTAAGTATCTGTGCTCCTGGAATCCACCCTGCCCTGCCCACCATTCGCAGGCTGTAGCAGCCAGTGAATCAATCTGCAACCACAAATTACTGTGTTGGCCTTCCCCTTGTAAGTCTACAAACATACTCCTGATTATAGCATCCACTAGCAAGCTGTTTAAAAAAAAACAAAACCAAAAAACCTCCAAATACAAAAACCACACCTCCAAAAGATAAATGCACAGGATTCATGGAAGCTGATGCACCATTTCCCCCACAGTCTAATCTTTCCATTAGCCCTTGAAGGGTTTTGACCATGCAGAAACACCCCTATGCTCATTTTCCTGCTGGGTTTCACACTTAGTGATTTTCTTTGAATTCATGATGCAAGTGCTTCTATTTCTTCTGCAGATGATTCCTGAAATCACTGTGCAATTTGCATGTGGACATACAGTGTCGACTGACCTGAACACAATTAGTAACAAATTGTGATCAGAACTCAGATGCAGACTCAGTGAGGACTCTCTCGACCTCAGCCTGGAAGACAGTGCTGCACCTCCTTAACTCCCACCACAGGGCTCTCAGGCCCCCAGTGCAGAAACTGCTAATCAGTGACAGATGGATGACAAACCATGACTGATATCTCTGTAAAAAGGTTCCTCATCTCCCAGCCACAGCCCCTGGCAATACTCACACTTCTGAGCATCACCTTTCAAAAGGACCCATCAGATGCACCCTCTTAGCTGAGCTCCAAGATACAGTTAGGCAAGGGTGACACCCTGCATCAGAGGCAGCTGAGGATGGGCATCAAGCTAGGAGAGGAGAAGGAAAAGGTACAGGGAGGTACATGAGCTCTGAGAGGGAGCACAGAGCTCATGATGCTGAGAGTTAACCAACACAGTACATGTCACGAGCAGCAACTTCTTCCCATGCATGAACTCTGGCCAGGAGCAGTGCTGGGAAGAATGTACAGCCAAAATCAGATTGAAGGAGATAGAAGAGGGGCAAGCACCCAATACTCCACCCATGCCCATCTCTGAAGATTTATCTCAGCACCACATCATCGATTCCTTCCCCAGTTTCCAAGAACTGGCTTTTCTATACACACTAGAGAAAGAAAATTAGTTTTTCCGTTTTTCCAGCATCTTTCCTTCCAGCTCGTGTTTGCAAAGCTCTCTGAGAAGAAAACTGCCAGACCCCACAAGTGATCAGTGTTATTACACTTGATCCATATGTGCCTTGAGCTTGCTGCTGCCCATGGGTCCAACAGCCATCACTGCTGTTCCCTGGAAGAGATTATGTAGCATATCAGAAACAAAATTACTAACTTTATTCCTAAAATCTCTCAACATTCCTCAGTCTCAGTTCCTCATTTACAGCTGGATGAATCCAAAAGACAGAGTCACTTTTGCAAGATCCAAGAATGTGACTGGGAACACAATAGCAAAGCCTCAAGCTCTGTTCCTCTCCTCGGTCTGCTACACAACCCCCTCTGGGATCAGTGGAGATGATCACCAACCACCTTCTGCATACAATATGTAAGTGATTTCCTTCTCATGCACCTATGTATGTAAATTAAGACATACTCTAAACTAGGTTATGACAATGTATAATACATTCAAATATTGTATCTAGTGAAACTGTTCAAATTCAGGGTTGTTTGAGCAACATTTAGAGAAGGTTTCCTGCTGAAGTCACAAAGAAAATCAAACCTCAAAACTGCTCTCAGTTACTGACTATACTTCTTAAGCCAGGCCTGCCAGACAGCCTGCAGCAGCTTGCAGCAGCAGAGTCTTCTTCCAGGACAGAGAGGGTATCTGTCATGTCAGTGCATTTAGCAGGCTGAGTTAAATAGCTGGTTCAAACAAAAAAAAAGAAACTGGAAGTTGTAGATGTAAGGAAACAGGAGTTAAAATAATTTCTTAACAGAAGTGAAATTCAAGAGTTCAAGACCTATGATTCCCAAAAGTCTTATCTAAGATACTGTGACCAAAAAACCAAATTTGACTTAATAACTACAATTAACTGTTCCTTTTAAACATTACTTAATTTGAATGCAAAACAGGTTGAATTTTTTTTTTTTCTTCTCCCCTTCTATTTCTCAGCTCCTATTTTAAGGAAGCATTTAGTTGCATGGCAGAAATGTTTCAGAATCTTCTTTCTGGGCATTTTTGTTGAATGTTTATTTTAATGTGAATATAGCCTGATACAAGTCACATGAAAAAATCTGATCTAGTCAACAGTGAACAGAAAGCACAGCACTGATTTAAAAAAAAATAAAAAAACTAGAGGCCCACAGAAATCTGTGTTGGAGGAGATTAGTGGCAGAACATCTGTAGAAATACAATGTAGTAAAAGTTTAAAAAAAGATATATTAAATTATTTCAAGTACTGAAAGCATTTTCTTCTTTAAGGACTATAACTAAAATGAGTAAATGCAAAGCAAGATTTAGAAGCTGATGATTGCTGATTTTAGTCACAATTGAAACCAGCAATTTAAATCCCCTGAAGAACCTCCACAGGAAGAGCAGTGCTGATTTATTTCTTATGAGATGGGACACTCAAGATCATGAAGAACATTAGTTTTCTGATGCAAAGCAGATACACTGGTACAGAGACAAGTGCACACTGCTGTTCCATATTTAAAAAGGCAAGAGACTAAAATATATGCACATATGTGCACGTGTGAATACGTGTCCTCATTTTGTTATCACACTCGTTCAGGACACAGACCTGCATAGCAGCAGACTAAGAAGAGGAATCTCTTGCAAAGAGGTAATGAGCAGCAACTCCTGAGTGCTCAGGGCAGCTCTTCCAGGTGCAGCAGCACCAGGAGTGGCTCAGCAGCAGGTCCCCTGGCATACACACAGCACTGCCAGGCCAGAGCTGCAGCGCCAGGGACACGAACGCACGGTGATGTCTGACTCCTTGGGGTTACTGTGGATACTGCCAGGATTACAATAAGCCTTGCTAAATCCGTGCTGGGCACATGGTGACTCTGCACCATCCTCTGCCAGTGCTCCTAGGCCCAAGGTGAGGGCGACAAAACATCCCTCAGGACTGTCAAGCCAGAGGCTGCACTGAGCAGGACACAAGGAGCCTAGCTGCTCTCACCTGGATGCAAACTGGCCCTCCCAACTTGGGTTCTGTAGCAACTCCATCATCCAGCTTGTTCTCATGCATCACAGCACCACATGAGACATCCTCTTCCCTGTCATGCATAGTGACAAGAACAAGGGAAACTGTGTTTCAAAAAGAAAAGTGAATTTTTGTTCTATAGCAGAAACAGTTGAAAGACTTCAGGGGATCTGCAGAGACTTTTAAAGTCATAGAAGAGATCCTCCAATGAAGAAAAAAAGGAGGAAAGTATCCATGGGGAGACCACAAGGCATTTCTTTAGGCACTTAATGTAACATTAAGACAACAGAGAGTAACTGGTGTATAGACACCAATGAGGTAATTAAAGCTTCTCAGCCTGCTCCCTACTCCACATAAAAGAAGTACACAAGTGCATGGACATCAAGACTGAAAACACAACATCTTGTTTAACTCCCATGCCTCACAGAGTACTGCTGGCTTTACTATGGCCGTGCTATGTACAATCAATAACAGGTACTGATCGTGTTTGCACAATATTTCAATAAGCAAAGTCAACCAGCATCACTTCCTCTATTTCTGTAGAGAGTAAGATATTTACAGGAACAGCCTTTTGAAACGCTCCAGTAAAATTAGCTTACTCAGATTTTTTTTTAAACTAGAACAGAGAGCAGAAGGGTATCATCATCACTGGGTTTTGTGCATAAATCAACTGTCTATTTACCACTGCTATGTCGCAATAATGAATTGCCACTATCTCTTGAGTTATTTGCTGGGTTATTAAATTACCTAATTACCTAAGTCCACAGAATAAAAAAAAATTAAAAATAAATATAAAAAAAGCTTCATTATTTCCTGGGAAACGACCTTCAGAAGCATGTATTCCACCTCCTTCCCCAAAGCAATGCCCAAAATATTCCCGTAGGAGGTTTGTCTGTTTTATAAAAACCTCCAGTGATGATGCTTCCACAGCTTTCTCAAAGGCAAATAACTGCAGGACCAAAATACCCTTATAATCTTAAAGCCTTCTTAAATGTTTACCTAAGTCTTGCCACCTTCATATTGAGCCCATTTCTTTCAGACCTGACTCCAAGCAGTCAGGCTGCACAGTTCATTCCCCTCCTCCCCGTAGGAACCTTACACATACTTGAACACTACTATCATGTCTGTTACTGCCTTTGTCCCCTGTAGACTAAACAATCCCCATTCTTTCATCTTCTTTCCCAGGTCATGTTTTCCAAATCTTTCATCGTTTTTCCTGCCTTCTCCCTGGACACCATCCAGCTGGCTCTTGACTGTGTTGTGCCCCAAACTAGATGTTAAGCCATTTCAAACACTGAATGGGGTGGAGGGGTTTATTTTGTGCCTGTTCTTTACACACCCTAAAACAGTGCTTTTTTGAGGAACGTGGATGGGGAACCATTGTATGACTGTATGACACCTACAGTCTCATGTCTGCGACCCCTTTCCCTCTCAGATGTGCTGTCCTGTGCACATGGACCAGGCCTGTGAGGATTCAAGCTGGGACACTTCCCTAAAGGCACGGTCACCAGCTCCAGGTTCAGAACCGAAGCAGGCAGGCGACCAAAAGAAAAGCTGCCCACTCAGCAGAGCACTGGCAGCCCAGGTGCCATGGGAGAGGAGAGAGGGACGTGTCACAGCTGTTTTTCTCTGCTGGTCTGGGAACCAGCTGTGATTTTTTTACCACCCTATTTAACCAAACCAGGCCAAACTGCTGCTCCAACGCAGCCCAACAACAGCTCACAGACCTTCTTCTGTAGAACCACTACTGAGTCAGCCCCATTCTGTCTCATGCAACTGGATATTTCTATCTCTCTGTAGCACTTCTATGTTTATATCTTGGCTGTTTTTCAGGGTTTTTCCCCCAGGTTATTCCTCCTGTTAGCCAGGGCAGCTCAAAACTTTAATCCTGCCTTCCAAGGAGCCTGCAGCCCCCCTTCACACTTCTTATCCCATGTAAATTTAACTACTGCTCTCTCTGCTCCATCAATCATTTCAATAATGAAAACAGTGAGTATTACCAAAGCCAGGACAGACCCCTGGGGAATCTCACTCACTCCAGACTTGCAGTTTAACAGCAAACCATGAATAACTACTTTGACTAGTGCCTGGTGAAATGCTGTGCACCCACGTTACAGACCAGCTAACGAGACATCCAGCCTGCCTCAAAGAAAGCTGTGTTAGAAAGCAGCCAGAGCCCCCCATTAAAGAGGGAGTAATTTCAGTCAGACAGAGGGGTCCAATTACACTGTCATAGGCACTGTTGGAAAGTCTTTGCTAAACACTGCCATAAAAATGTAATGCATGCTGATAGGAGAAAAACGAGGGTTGATAACCAAGCTTAGGATGACAGGAAGAACTTCAGCAGAAACTGAGACAGCAGGAGCTTCACTTTGCTTCCAGCAAAAGAGAGACTTGGAAGAAGCAAACTGAAACACAGAATAACAATTACAGGAATTTTATGCCTTCCATCAACTGCTGCCAACTTTGCAGTTAAAGAAGATACTATCACACAGGTATGGTTTTGTTTGGCTTTTTTTAGTAAAAACAAAATGTTTTCTTAGCTCTTCCAGATGTTTTTCCAAATTGCATCCTTTACTGCTCCCTAACAGGCTATTCTGCTCAAGGATCACAAATAAACCAGACAGATAGCGAAGACCATGGTTCCCAAAACCCTGATAAATGCTTTAATCAACCACTGAAAACATCCCCAGCCCCATGCCACCACTAAGAGAAGCAAATGGCAGTGGCTGGTGCCTGAAACAGGGAGAAAGGGTAAGTTCCATGGAGAGTGAAAGGTGAGGCAGCTTTCCAACACTGGCTCCCTTTGCTTGCCAAAATAGCAATGCCCAACCCACGCCTCACTCCTACTTCTGTGGAAGATGCACTTGCTTCCCAGGAGAGTTTACTCTCGCAATGCAGATGTGCTTCACTGAGGCAATCACGCTCTGTTGCATAACAGAACACAGAATTAAACAGTGTATGCTGTTCGGTGCATTTTTAAAATGTACACCACAAGTTACTGTGGAGTTCAGTGATGGTGCCAAGAGTGTTAACACAATGATATTAGCAGGGAAGAATACATCATATCCTTCCTACTCCCACAGCTTACTCGAGTCGTAATTTTGCAAAATCCTTTTGTACTTGTCAGTAAAACACAAAGTCAGACATCTGTGTGACTTTTGTTTGATCTTTGGTGACTGTGGGCATCGTCACCCTGGGACCTAACACACCTGCACCAGTGGCAGGTGCAGGGATGGGAAGAACCTGGCAGGTGACTGCACCGAGGTGCTCAAAGCTGAACCCCTCACCCCATGTCCTACAAAAGAGGGGTCAGAAAAATAAATAAATAAAATCACAAGAAGAACCCAGAACCAATCATTTCCAGTCTCCACTGTGAACAAGGAGGAACAGCCCTGCAGATGCTTCTGTACTTTGATTGAGACTACACATACATTTAGATTCTTCTCTGTTTCAAATAGCTGCACAATGCCATTCCTCTTCAGAGGAATACAGGTCTTTTCTAAAATATATTATGCATAACCTAGTTTTCCACAGCAGAAAACTCACCAAGGGAATACTGTTTGCTCATACTAGAAATGTATCCCAAAATTACAGTAATTTATAGCCTCATTTTCATTGACAAAAGAAATAATACCATTCTCTTCTGACAAATATCAGTACACTGAAAAAGTAATGAATAAATGTCTATAAACAGGTATCAAATAAAGCAACTGTCAATCACTGCAATAAAACTTTAATTAAATCATATGGTAAGCAAAAAAAAGAAGTAAAAACAAACCATATAATCTGAAATCAAAATAAAAATCTGTCTGTCATACGAAAGCACAATTCAGAGCACTAAAATACCATAACCTGTTAAGTGATTGGTCATCTAATTGTTAATTGGAAAGTTCCAAGTTTACAAAACAAACATTCAGATTCAGCAAAGTACTTTGGCATGTGCCAAAGTACATCTGTATTTTAGAAACATATCTTATGTGACTGAGTTTCAAACTCTGGAACTGTTCATATACACCTCTACCATGATTTTTATTTTTTTTAAGAGACAGAAAGTGATCTGCACTGTTCACATTTTAGTATTACAAATCAAATCAGCATTCAGCCGCAGCTGAATACATATTTCTGGAGACACATCAGAAAGAAACCTGAGGATTAGTCCTAACACAAAAGGATGAGGGAGTTGCTTGCTGTCATCCTGCCAATTTTCCAGAACAGAAGAGTTAGCAAATGAGGCATAAAAGGATGTGAGCAAAGAAACTCATACCTGCACAAAAAATGCAGAAATATCAGATGTGCAAGGAAATGATAGTAAGTACTATCAGGCCAAATCACAAGAACTGCTGACCAGCTGAAAGTCCTCCTGGCCTCAGCTGGAAGTACTTAGCGCCCTTAAGGTTAGTTAAACTTAAAAGCCATCCTAAATTGATGCTACAAATTAAATTTGAATATTCAGCATTAAACTTTTTAAGGCCCTGACCTTCTTTTGGAATCAATGTAAGGCAGCAGCACTAACATTAAAGAAAACCTTCCTGAGTGTCTCCCTGTCTGTTACTGTTAAGAAATTAATACAGTCCTCTCTCTTTTATTTCTTATAGTGATAGTGGTAACAAGCAACATCCAATATACCTATGGTATTGCTGTAGGGGAAAACCCAAGAAGTTCCCATTTTTCTCTCAAAAAAACCTCTCATCATGCAGCTGGTTGGCTTTCCAAGTAGAAAGACAAAGACGGGGCACTGCTGAAGTGTGTGGGTGCACATGCACACCTGTGCGAGGCAAGTGCAGAAGAAAGAGGCGCACATGCGATAGTGCAGATCTCTGAACAGGAATGCAGCTACCAACCCCAGCTGGGGCAGAGGGACAGTCGTGTTAGAGGAGGGTTTGAGCCAGCTGCACACTTCCATATCTGCCAAAGTGGGCTGACAGGTTTCATCTGGCAAAGACTACTTCTGGGGGGAGGGGGAAAGCCAAGGTGGGGAGGAGGAGCTTCACACCTGCCTGGGGACAACTTTTAAGCGATTATAAATACATCGGATTTAAAAAAAAAATTGCAAGAAAATTAATTAATTAAGAAAAAAAGGTTTAACTTACTGAATAAGACACCACTTTAAGAGGTTTCCCCACTTTCCCTGCTGTAAAGCACTTCAGAAAAATTCAGCCACTGAGCTACTGCTTTTCTTGACCTTTTCACTGAAAGAGAGCAGAGTAAAAACAGGAAAGAGCTAAAACGATATGCATTAAAGATGCTTCATGTTAGGAAAGTTGTTTGAGTCAATGTTGCAAATTCACTCTGTGTCAGATTTGCCCATATAATGCTTGCTAAAGACTATTAAGAGCAGCAGCAGTCAAAGCAGGCGTGTTGCCTCTCAGCTGTTGCAGCAACACCGTACACACCATATGTAGCATTTGCATCTGGTGCTGGTTTTCCACACTCAAAAGTTCACTTCATGTCTTTTCATTAATTTATAATGCCCTGAGCTCCAGGCAGATTTTCTCTGCTGATTTCCCTTTTCTAAACAATAATACAAATAAACATGGAAATAAATCCATTCTTTGAGGAACCCTTCCACTAATTCTGTTCTTTGATGTTTTGGTTGATTTACTACGGTGGGGAATCAAGAGTGAAGTGGATCGTAGCTTAATACTGAGTGTGGTTAATCTTCCCTTTGCATAATGCTGGTACACTATGGCCCAAATACCAGAGATTTATTTGATGTGTACATGCTTTCAAGCATTAGTAAACGAGTTGCAGCCCATTATGAAAGAAGAGCAGATCCAAACAGTTGTGAAGCTCTTTATGTACTAGATTGGCACTGTCAGTACAATACACTTACATCTGCATGTGTACTAGCTTTAAAACTTTGGACACTATTTCATGACAAAGTATCATTTTCTAAACTGTAACTAAAAATATGGCTGAGATCACTTCCCATGACCTGATGCACTGTTGTCTGAATCACAACAAAACTGAGCAAGAGGCAGGCTTTTTCTTCTTTTAATTGATTTTATTCCTCGTAACATAACCAAAATGAGGAAGAACATATATTGGAGCCTCAAAAATGTACAGACATATTCATTCCTACAAAAAGCATCTCTCACTTCTCATTTCTTTTTCTTCCACTACTTTGAAGAAGATGTTATAGAACACACAGAAGTACTCTATGAAACATCACTGAATTTTTTACTTTACTAGATTTATCAAATAAATTACAATTACATTCTATAACTAAAGTTACATTCTATAACTAAAACATTCTTCTTGTTGTTCATGTACAAATTAAAACAAATTTGTTTCTTTAGAAGCTGGCCTTAAGAGCAAAGTATTACCTCAAAAATTTATTTCAATAATGGAGTTTTGAGCAATGGTAGAATGGTAGAAATAGTTTCAAGAAATGGTAATTTCAAGAAGTGGAAGAACTTGAAGTGCACAGAAGTTACTTGCATGTGGCAATGCTTCCTGGATAAAAGACCCAGTGTAGGTCTACATTATTTTAACACACACAGGCAAAACCCACCCAAACTGTAATGTTAGGTATCAATATGTCATTCTTGCAATATGGTGCATTTTTCCTACCTAGGAGAAGAATAATGATCCTACACCCAGGCACCAGCTTTAGAGCATGGTACCTAATTCCTTGCACTCTCACATACATACATTTGTGATTTTCAGCAAATCTCCCAGTGTTTATACTACATTCGCTGACCCCCTACATAAGGCTACAACTGTACACCAGCTGTCACTGGCCTAGATTTTATCATGTCCTGGGCTGAACACAGACTTGGGATGACTCAGAAACAGTTGCCTCTGTTTTTTCCCCCTGCTTAATAAATAAAGAAGCCACAACAGAGACAGAGAGAAATTCAGAGCTGGAAGCAGGAAGGACTGTTCAGACAGTAATTCCAAAATCTCATCTGTAGAGGTGTAGAAAACGTACACTCCTGGAGCAAGCTCTTCAGATAAAGCCTCAAATTTTGGTGGCAATTATTAAATGGACATAAAATTATATGCCTACAAAGGAGGTGCTGTGAGAACAAACACATCAGTGACTGAGAGACGCCAGGATACCACAAAAAAGTAACACAGTAAGAAGAGAGGATGCCAATGTCTCAGATAAGCAGTTATGGCTATGTTTACTTAAACTGTTCTGCTGAGCTGTTCCCGTTTCAGGCAGAAAACTTTGATATAAGGAAGAGACTTGCAGTTCTGTCTTCATATTTTTTTCCCTTCAAAGCATGAAAGAACTTCCTTTTTCAAAACCAATTTAACAAAGTTTACATCCAAACCCTCTCAGTCCCAAAAATGTCAGATCTGAACTCTATTAAAAGCAGCAGTTAGTGCAGCCAAACGCTCCACAGTACATTTAATAGACTATAATATTTCTAATGCCTTACTGCCTGAAGTCTATGATCTGGAAAACCAGCCAAGCACACCCACCCAAGAGCAATGACTGCTACAGGGAAAAAACCTCTTATCTCCCTGTGGTCCTCTATCACCACTGGCATGAGCAGACCAGAGACTCTCAGGCTGCAGACAGTGAGCATACAGACCACCTCTCTGGCAAGAGGAAGCCCAAAGGAAGCAGACAAATTAGAAACGGAAGTTGTGCCAAGCATGTCAGCATAGAGCTATGGTTTCAAACTTCAGGTCCTGCAGTTTTATGGACATGTTTTATTACTTGATTTTATTGGACCCTTCTTCTCCTAGCCCACTGCTTCCCTCATATCACTTACAGTTCCTCCCATCCGTTTCTGCCTCACATCCTTCAGGCTGGAAGATTGCCCAGATCAGCTTCTCTAGTTCAACCACTAACTCCCTTGACACCAGTGAGGACCAGAGTAGACATCTGCCCTGAGCTCAGGTATAAGCACCCTGCACACCCAGCAGTACTTTCCCTTGGCTGGCCTAAAGGATGCTTGGGACAAGCATTTTGATGTCACTTGTGACACTGGAAAATACAGTTCATGCAGTCTCCTGAAAAAGTCTGTTCTTCCATATAAGGCATATGTGTAGGAAAGTAAAATAGCTTTCCTAGTAAGTTATGCAAAGAGAAGCAGCTTCCTGGTACCTATTACAGCTGACTGGGAGCTAAAATGGTACTAATTATACTGTTCAGTTGAACTCCAGCAAGGTTCCATGAGTCCGAGCATGAAGAGCTCTGCCTAAGCAAACCTGCCAGTTGGGCAACCACAAGTGGGCAAGGCCCATGCCAGGGGTACCCAGCCTGGCACGTCCTACTGCTCTTCCTCTGTCACCCTGCACCACAGCACCCATGGCACAGGACAGGAGCAAGGCTGGCCCCATCTGAGCAAGAATTTACTCCCAAATCAGGTTTCCTAAGCATCAAACTGGCTGCTGAGGAGAATTTTCTACTCCTGCCAGCCTGATTGCTCAAGATGAAGCAAAGGTATGGATGACTGCAGCTCATTCCATGTCATCACACCAGTGGGTTGATGTGGATTTGCAATGAAGCAAGAGAGGCAGCACGCTCAGATATGAACCAGGCTGAACTTTTAGGAACAATTTCCTGTGTTTCAGGCCCATCTACCAAGGGTGCAGGGGAATTTCTAAAGAACAGTCAGAAATAGCGCAAGAAAAAGGGAAGGGAAAAAAAAAAAGATTATTTGCCTATATCTAAATAATGAAATGAGGCATTTTTCACTTCCATGCTTCAGTATCTCAAAAATAGGAAGGGGAGTGTTATTATTTACTACAAGGTATGAGAAATGAATGGATTCCAACAAGTACCAACAGTAACACTTTATTCTCTTTCATAACAGAAACAAGCAGAAAACATTTTACTCCAAAGGATGAGTTTTCCAGAAGGCTTTCAATTTCTCTGAAAGCAGCCATAACTATAACACTGCTCACAGAATGTTTGGTAACTTTATCAAAGATGCTGTCTGTTAAACATTAACTTTTATATAGATTCACTTAGCTATCCTATTGTACATGCAAGGTCAGCTCATTTAACTACTTTATTAGATCAATATAAAATTTTGGATATCAACAACTGCACTTATAGTCAAAGAAAGACAGAGGTCCTAACTGATTCAAAATGGACAGGGGAAAAACAAGGGAAAATGACATAAAAATGAAACAGTATAATTAATATTCTAAAAAACAACTGGCATCCCAAAAAGATAACTTTTATGACCTCTCTTCACCTGCAGAAAGGCCTAGCAAGCTTTCAATCTTTTCCCACTTGCAAGGCCCCTCAAGGTTTCCCTATAGAGCGAAGCGCACCAAAGAACCACTGCAACAGCTGACAGCCAGCTTTGCTTTGCTGAGTCCCTGCTCTTCAGAGGCAGGCTCCAAGTCAACAGCTTGACAGTCACTGGTCACTACTGCCACCACAGAGTACAAAATGAAAATCACCAGTGCACTGCAAACCAACACTGCCGCTCACAACCTCCAGCAAGGGCTGCAGCAGCCTGCAGGAGCATTCCCACCTTTATACACATGCGGTACAACGCTCTTGTATCCAGTTATCCCTAAGGGGCAGCATTCCAAAAGGATAGAAAAGTTTAGGTAATATACATTATGCAACATTTGAGTTGTATTTAAACAATCTCCAGGCCTAGCAACTAATTGTCTTGTGTTCCAGGTCTGCTGAAATTGTGCAGAAGGTGAGCAGGCTCCACAGGCAGCCCCCACATCCCTCATCCCTCCCTCTTATGACCCCATACCTCAGCTGCACCACTGGCATGGAGCACCCACAAGCATATGCTTTCAGGATAAACCTGACCCTGCAGCAGCACAGAGCAGCAGAAAAAAAACCATAAGGAGAAGCTGCTGCAGTGGCAGACCAGAAGAATTAAAACCTGGTCACCTGCACCCAGGCAGTTCCCCATCTCTGAACAGCACAAAGGCAGGTGAGGCCCTAACTTTCACAGTTTGAGGTGAAAGACCCCCAGCACTCCCATGATCTACCTCCAGAGGCTCCAAAATGTTCCCCCAGGAAGGACATCTCCCACGTTTGAACCCTTTGCTCCCAATGGTTCACATGTAACTACATAGTTCTGACCAGAGGCATGAGCAATTTATTTCTCCTTAGACAAGTGACACCAGGAGAAATTATCTCTGGACTGAACTTCATGAGGCTCTCTGGTCCTGCCTGCATCTCTTCCTAGCTGCTCCTCAATTTTTCCAAAAGGCAGGGTAATGAACAGCACTCGAGGGGGCACAGTAC